ACCTCTTACGTACAAGGCCAGCCACGTGGATGACAGGTTGAGCGCTGGCTGCCCCCATCCCCGTGTGTCAAGGACCCCTATGTGCTGTCTCTTATACACATCTAGATGTGTATAAGAGACAGCGCACACACACACACACACACACACACACACAACACACACACACACACAACACACACACACACAGGTCATGAGTACTGAGGAGAAGCCTCAGCCTCTCAAGCACAGTCTTATTCTCCGACCCCACAGCTTCAGCCTGCTAGCAACTTTGGTGTGCACGGACAAGTGCATCCATGACGGCATCTCAATTGAAAGGATGATGACCATTCATTAACAGGGAGATCAGGTGAACAACGTCATCTGCGGTTCTCCAGCGAGATATTGTGATCAGGGGTAGGCGGGTCACGAATGGTCAGCACCAACCATCATACTCTTGAGCAGATGCCGTTCTCCTGAGGATCCCATACCATACCCCACCCCMCCCCMCCCCMCCCCAATACTTGTCTCTCCCTCCAAACCCCCACCCTCAAAAAAAAAAAAAGTAATCCATGTTAGATAGTTAAATAAAAAAGAAAAAAAAGAAAAAAAAATTGAAACCCCTTGACTCCACTTCTGTCCCCTTAGGAACCACCGCCCTGGCCCCCCCCCCACACAAGCACACTACCAGTTCAGATCCCTACTTCCTAATCAAGGGATCTAACGAGATCCCTACTTCCTAATCAAGGGATCTAACGAGATCCCTACTTCCTAATCAAGGGATCTAACGAGGTCAATACCGACCCCTACCTGATTTAGTAGCCTCTGCAATTAGGCTGGTGACACGTGTCTCCAGCTCTCCCCGCTCCTTTGCCCCTGCTAGCAGCAACCCCATATCCAAAGAGAGCAGACGCTTCTCCTGCGAAACATTCAATGGGCGAGCACACAGGAGTAAACAATCCGATCCGACACACAAGAAGACAAGAAGATAAGCAGATCCATGCATGATTTCCAAAGCCTGTGGTTGAAGGTACACACCTGTGATTGCTGATACTGAAGATAAGAAGATCATCTTAATGTGCAATTAATGAATTTTTCCTCCAAAAAAAAAAAAAAAAAAAAAGATCATGAGTTCAAACTTCGATTCCATTGCAACTCAAAAAAAATGAAAAATACGCATTTTTTTTCTCTGGTCCCTAAGCCACTTTTAAAAAGAGGAGTAAAACACAAAAAGACTTTCTTTTTATCATTACCTGCACACTGCATCAGAGAAAAAGAGTTGACGCAACTTTTGACAGGCAGAGCAACCCGTTGAAAAAGTGTACACGAGCCTGATACAGACCAAGTGCATCCATCCATAAGATCTTCGGGACTTAAAAAGACCACAGTCCTTCTGTGAGTTCTTTCTGAAATGCCAGAGCAACCCGGTGCAAGAGCAAAGCCTTCTATCCATCCATAGGCAAACCAAAGGTGCAGATTCGTAGGCCGAAGGCGAGCGAGGCGCCGCCGTCACGCGCAGCCTTGTCTTTGAGGACCCGAACCCGCCCACTATTTCAAGATTCCTGGACTATTTACATGTGGCCTTCGGGCGAGAGACTCGTAGGCCTTATTCACAAGGTACAGAAAGAATACTACAGATTCATAGGCGAAAGGCTACAGTAGCGAGGCACCACCAGGCGAGGTGTTCTCTTCAAGAATGCACCCACTAATTCAAGA